GGGGTTTAGGGCTTAGACGTCGGTTCTGTCAGAACAAGGTACCCTGATGACGAATGGTTTAGGCTTCAGGCTTCCGGGCCTTTAAGGTTGGGAAGTTGTTCCATGAGCCCCCTAAACCCTAAACCCTAAACCCTAAACCCTAAACCCTTAACCCAAACCCTAAACCCTTAACCCTAAACCCTAAACCCTAAACCCTAAACGGGTGACTGTGAGGCGCAGCAGATGGGCCGCATTTAGCTTGAGAACAACACTTTGTGGGGGTAATCGGGTTGAGGGCACTTTTTGGGTTTACCAACAGGGCCTATTTTGTCTGTATTTCCGACTTCGGCTAGACCTTAATCCTTACACCCTAAACCCGAAACCCCCGAACCAAGTGAGTTCCCAGGTCCGAAAGCTCTGGACGCAGAGTGGGGGCGCCGCAGCCCAGCTTTTGCTGTTGGCAGAGGCTCCTCAGCCCTAAGGCCTTAAGACCCTCCTAGCATCTAGTCGTCCCTGAACTCTCCACTAAACCCATTTAAGACACCCCCCAAATCCTTCATGGGGGTATCCCAAACCGGGGTTTAGGGCTTAGGGTTGCGTACCCTTCCTGAGGGGTTCCTACAACTTCAGGTATTACGCGGGACCCCCCTCTTTCTCGGGAAACGCCCTGATCAGCCTGATCCACCGTAGGCACGCAACCATGAAAAGAAACGCTTAAAACCCCAAGGAACGTTTTGGGATTCGGGCTTCGGGCTTTATAGCGTTTAGGATTCAGGAGTTTCGGGGTTTAGGGGTTTTAAGGTCTAGGGTTACCCGGTCCCCCCCTGAACCCTAAACCCTAAACCCCAAACCCTAAACCCTAACCCCTAAACCCTAAACCCTAGACCCTAGACCCTAGACCCTAGACCCTAGACCCTACACCCTAAACCCTAAACCCTAAACCCTAAACCCTAAACCCTAAACCCTAAACCCTAAACCCTAAACCCTAAACCCTAAACCCAACGAACCCCGATTGCAGGCGGAGGCTGCGCCCTCGCCCGAGGCAACAGAAGCGCTGGGCTTTGGCGCCGGCCTCCGCCGGGTCCTCCTGGTAGAGCTGCCTTCGGCGGCTTGAGGTTTAGGGTTTAAAGGGCCTGTTTAGGGTTTAGGGTTTAGGGTTTAGGGTTTAGAGGCTTGTTCCCCACCCTCGGTGTGGGTTGTTAGATGCTGAACGTAAAAACTTAAACTCTTCTCCTCGCCCGGTTTGCTCATCGCCCATCACCCGTATCTTTCCCCAGAGTATCCCCAGAGTGTCCCGGGAGTGCCCAACCCCAAAGAATTTCAAATCGGAAGGGTTGGGATGTTCCAAGTAGAATAGTTTGTGTTTATTTGTTTTTTTGCGGGGGCGGGGGCGGGGGGGGGTGAGGGGGGGGGGGGTTGGGTTTATGGTTTTTGGGCAAGGTTTAAACCCTGAACCCTAATCGTTTTTTTCGTCTATGGGGTTTAAGGTCGGCGGATTTGGATGTAGGATGTAGTTGTCCGTGCCTTTATCCAGGTCCCTGTCAGAATTCGAGACGGGCTTCGTACATACTTCTAACTTACAATGCTGCCTATGTGGCTCTGTCCTTCTTCTGTTGAGAAGTCGCGAAAGGTCTCACAGGAGCGGTTGTGTGGCTTAAGCAGTTGCCCAGACCTCCCCTCAACTTTGTAAGCTCGAAGCCTTGGAACGCTACAGAGCCAAAACAGGCCAAATCCCTACGCGGCCTAAACCTCAGAACCCTAAACCCTCAAACCCTCAAACCCTCAACCCTAAACCCTAAACCCTAAACCCTAAACCCTAAACCCCACAAACGCGCCAAAGGTGGCGCCATCTTAGATGCGGCCCTGCAGCTGCTGCCGAATGGGCCCCGCAGCCTGGGTGGTGGGTTCAGGGTTTGGGTTTAGGGTTTAGGGTTTGGGGTTTAGGGTTTAGGGTTTAGCGTTTAGGCTCTAGGGTTAAGGGTTTAGGGTTTTCAGGTTTAGGGTTTCGGGTTTAGGTTGTTTGGCTATTTAGGTTTTAGGGTTTACAGGGTCTAGGGTTTATAGGGTGTAGGGTTTAGGGTCTGGGGCTGCTTAAGGGTTGCGGGTTTAGGGTTGTGCTATGGATTCTGTGGTGTCGTTTTCTTTGTTTGTGTGTTGCTTTACGTGGCGTGTTTTCTGTGTTGCATATATATATATATACTTATTCATGTATTTATACGTATATTTATTTATATATTTATACATTCATATATTTATACATTTATTCATTTTTTCATTTATATAGTTATGCATATATATATATATAGGTTTATACATCTGTATATTTGTACATTTATATATTTATACATATATATTTATGCATTTTATATACTTATGTTGTTTATATATTTATATATGTATATATTTATATATTTATATATTTATATATTTATATATTTGTATATTTATATATTTTATATATTGTTATATAAATATTTCAATATTTATATGTAACTTTATTTTTGTATGTATGTATGTGTGTGAGATTGAGATGTTTTTGGGGCTTCAGGGTGTCTATTTAGGCTTAGTTCTTGAGTTTATGCTTTGGTTGTTTTGACTTTCTTCTGAAGGTTTCGTGTTAAGGGTATTTTCAGGGTTTGGGGTTTTAAGGCTTTTGAGGTTTTGGGGTTGCAGGGCTTAGGGCTTAGGGTTTAGCGCTTTCAGGTTCGACCGTTTAGGGTTTAGGGTTTCTGCTTTTATGGGTTTAGGCTTTTAGGGATTGGGGTACAGGGAGTTGCGTGAGACCAAGGGGGAGGTTGATCCTCAGAAGGCAAGCTTGGGCAAATCCAGCCAGCCAACTCAGACCCGCAAACGGGCTGCGAGCAACTTTAGGGTTGGGGCAGTTCTTTAAGATAGGGTCCCTGTCTAGGGTACCCTACAAAGTACTGAACTCTGTCAAAAGCACCAGGGTCCTCACATGTCTTCTATACACCTGAGCCCCAAACCCCGGACTCTACTAAGCCCCAAACCCTAAAACCAAGCTCTAAACCGTACTACACCCGGCTATTCCCTGCCCTAAACCCCAAACCCTAAACCCCAAACCCTAAACCCTAAACTGTGGAGCTCAAGGGGGTTTGGGCGCCTTGGGTGTCGATGGGCCAGATGAACTCGCCCCTCAGGCGACATGTCGTGCTGGAGCTTGGGTGTGGCGTGGGCTGTGTGTCGGCCCCAGCTCGTTTGTGGTGTGTGTATATATATATATATATTTGTATATATATATATATGTATATATATATATATATGTATATAGATTTTTACACACCCTAAACCCTGAACCTTAACCCCTCAACCCAGAACCTTAAGCCCTAAAACCGGGTTCAATTAAGGTGTAGGGCCTTCCCCAAGCCCTGGACATTTCAGGAGTTCTTGTTTTCAGGAACTTTGGGTAGGCTTAGGTTTTTTAGGGTCTGGGGTTTAGGGCGTAGGGCTTATGGCTAAGGGTTTATGGTGTAGGATTTAGGGTTCAGGGCTTGCTGGTCGGGCTGAGAGTTGAGCCAGGTGTTCCCACGAGCGCGCTCCTCTTCAAGCCCTTGATTGCGTCAACAGATGAATCTCTATTCCCTGCACCCTCAGCACCCTCAAACCCTAAACCCCAGACCCCAAACCACAAGCCCTAAACCCTAAACCCTAAACCCCAAACCACAAACCCTAAACAACCCTAAACCCGCATTCAGGTTTAGGGTTAATTAAGGGTGTCTCCTCCTTAAACCCTAATGCACCCCAAAGCCCCGGACTTCCCAGTAGCGCCAGAGGGTTCAGGGTTCTGGGTTTAGGGTTTAGGGTTTAGGGCTTAGGGCTTAGGGTTTAGGGTTTAGGGTTTAGGGTTTCGGGCTTGTTTCGGGTTTAGGTTTTTTGGTTTCTCGCTCGCCCTCGAAAGGCCGTGCTACGTGTGGCCTCGCAGTTGACCGAGGGCTTGGCAGCTGCCTCAGAGGACTTATGGTTTATAGGGCTTAGGGTTTATGGAGTTTGTTTTTTTTCGATTGTGGTTTGTTCATCCTATGTGATTTGTGTCGCTTGCGCCCGTGAGAGGCGCCAGACATCTTTTGGGTAGGCGACTGCTATCCTTGAAACCTCCGACGTAGTTTGAGGTTAAGGTTTTCCCTAAACCCTAAATCCTAGACCCTAAACCCCAAACCCCAAACCCCTAAACCCCAAAGGGATTAGGGTAGCAAGTAGGGTGTAAGCCTGTAGGTATTGGAGTTCGGTCTTCCTTGCCTTGTCTTCTCCTGCGCACCGAACTATCCCTAAACCCTAAACCCTAATCCCCGAAACCCTCAGCCAACTTTCTGGTCTTAGTCAGGTGTAGCTTGGTAGCCCAGTGGTACCCTTTTGCCCCTTTTTTGTGGTTCATGGCTCCCTTATCAAGTAACTAACCCCAAAATGGTTTAGGGTTTAGGGTTTAGTAATAGTAATATGTAGCAAGTAGTAGGGGATTTCGGAACTAAGGGCCGTATGCTCATATTGCCCCCTCAGGGGATGATGTAGCGTGCCTAGTTCACGAGTTCCCACGCCCTAAACCCTAAACCCCAAACCCTAAACCCTAGACCCCAAACCCCAAACCCTGAACCCTAAACCCTAAACCCTTCTCATGCATCACCCTTCACGGCCATTAAGCATAGGAGTCCTCACCCTTCAAGCACTTCGACCTCTTGCCTTCGCGACCTACATAGCCCCGAGACGAGAAACCCCAAGCACCCTAGGTTCAGGGTTTAGGGTTTAGGGTTTCGGGTTTAGGGTTTCGGGTTTAGGGTTTCGGGTTTCGGGTTTAGGGACCCTAAGCCCTGGCACCGAGCGCCCCACATCGTTGGCCGCTCCAGCGTTTTGATCAAGGGCTTGCTAGCGCAAGGCAAGGTTGCTGGCCGAAGCTTTGCTTAGGGTTTAGGGCTTAGGGTTCAGGGTTCAGGGTTTAGGATTTGGGGTTTAGGCGTTTAGGGATTTGCTCTTCTAGGTTCTTTAGAGTTCCATCGTCGCCGTTTGAAGCCATGGCTGAAGAGGAGGTCTCGAAGAAGATGGAGTCTCTGACCGTCAGCGAAGGCACTCAACCCTGAAGCCGGTGCTCTGTTTTTTTTGGGGGTTTAGGTTTAGGGTTTAGGGTTTAGGATTTAGGGTTTAGGATTGAGTTTTTGGGGTTTAGGGTTTGGGGTTTAGGGTTTAGGGTTCAAGGTTCGGACTCTTTTGCAGTCGCCATTTCCCGGCCATCCGTGATCTCTTCACTCTTGTCCACCCCCTCCTCTTGGTAGCCCAGTGGTACCCGTTTAGGGTTTAGGGTTTGACACTTCTTTGGGTTATGAGTTCCCGAATAAAGTAACCAACCCCAAAAAAGTTTCCCATACCAAAATATGGTTCTCCTGGGCTACCAATTCCTTATGGTTTAGGGTAGAGTCTAGGGTTCAGGGCTTAGGGTTAGGAGGGTTTAGGGTTCAGGGTTTAGGGTTAGGATTGTTTAGGGGTTCGGGTTTAGGGCTAGGAGGGTTTAGGGTTCAGGGTTTAGGGCTAGGAGGATAGAAAGTTTACGGTTTTGGGCTTAGGGAAGATTAGGGTTCAGGCTTTAAGGTAGGGTCGAATCGAAATTTCGAAAGCCTTCGGGTTTAGGGTTTAGGGTTTCGGGTTTCGGGTTTAGGGCTCAGATTAGTTAGGGCCTGGCGGGTTCTGGATCATTCGATTTTAACCCTAAACCCTAAACCCTAAACCAGTCTGCAAGGCTCATCTTGCCACCCTGCCTCTCAGGCGAGACGAAGACCTGGGAGCCCATGGCCTTCCCTGAGGACCGCATCGCCCACTGGAGGACCTCTAGGTTTAGGGTTTAGGGTTTAGGGTTTAGGGTTTAGGGTTTAGGGTTTAGGGTTTAGGGTTTAGGGTTTAGGGTTTAGGGTTAGCCAAACTTTTACCTTCTTGGTTATATATCATCCACCTTTTTGGGGTCCTTATTCTAAGGGAACTATAGCTCTCTTTCGCCTCATGTTGTGTTGCTTTTTGAGTTTTTGCGGTTAGCTCTAGTTTCTTTCGCCTCATGTCATGTTAGGTTTGTTTGAGTGTTTGGGGTGAAGTGTTCAGGGTCTTTGCAGTTGCGCAAGTGCCAAAAGCCCTAGAAGACATCCCCCCAAACCCAGATCGTTGTTCCTAGCACGCTGTTCGAGCCCCGACGCAACAACCTCTCTAAGGGAAGTTACATGGGCCCGTAACATGGTCTCTTACCTCCTTGAAAGGGCTCTGAAGTATGGGCCCCTGGGTTGTATGGGGTATACAAGGGTTGTACAAGGGGTCCCGCTTAAGGGCCCCTATTAAAGGACCATGCAACTTGCATGTAACTACCCTAAGATACAAACCAAACTAAGGCTTGGGGTGGTGGTGTCGAGGAGGTGAGGTTAGAGCCCCCCAGCGCCCAACCAATGCCTTCCCTCTGTTCGGGACGGAGGGGTTGGTCTCGATAGTCAGACCTTAAACCCGACTGGGGTGGTCCTTCCCACACTTTGGTTGAAGATTCAGGGGTTTGTTACGAAGCAAATTGCAGTAAGCCAGCTGGTTCTTAGTCAGACATGAGGGAATGAAGTACCCCATAGGCTCCCTCAAGGGGTACATATAGGGCCCTGAGTCCCTCATTCCCGGCTAAGAACGCGCCGGTCCTTCCCAAGAAGCCAGGGCTAAGTATCGATGTTCTCGATGTGTCAGCAATTCCTGTTTGTACATCGCTAGGACTTTAGGCTTGTTTTGGCTTGCTGGCGTCTCTATCCCACTTAGAGCACAGTTCTGAAGGGTAAACGTTTACTCCCTAAACCCTCAAACCCGTGAACCCCCAAGACATTACTCTGGCAGTTCTCCGCACATGCAGGTTTTGGGGCTTTAGTGGTGAGGGTTTAAGAAAAGCAACCACAGAACAAAAGTGCAACGGCCTGCGGCCTAAAACCCATGTTTACGGTGTAAGCTTTGGAGACAAGCCCCAAACCATAAAGCTGGTCTGTATGGTTAAGGCTTTACAGAGCTTACGACTGTTTGCTCAAGAACCCCTCACAAAGTCAAAATATTCTTCCTTATAAGGGCAATGCAGGGACTGTTATCTTTTTTTTGTTTGGGGGGGGGGGGGTTCTTAAGCAACCGCTAGTTTAGAGTACAACACATCCAGACTGTTAGGCCTTTCGCCAGTTCCTTCTCTGGCAAAGGTCTTGGAGCTTAAAGGGTCAAGAGTTTAGCTTAGGTGTAAGGGTTCAGGGTTTAGGGTTTAGGGCTTCGGGTTTAGGGTCCCAAAAGTGCCAATCTTTTTGCTCAACGCCCTGTTGGGGTACCATCATTGTAAGCCCTTCGGCTTTTGGCATGGAATTCCGGGGTAACTTCTTAACCCTAAACCCTAAACCCTAAACCCTAAACCCTAAACCCTAAACCCTAAACCCTAAACCCTAAACCTGGGAAAGATCCCCTCGAACCTCACCTTCTATTCCCGGCGAGGAAATGCTTCGATGGACATCCCGATGCCAAAGAGCTGGACGGCAAGAAAGCCCTCGCTCCTTTGCACAACGTTTTCCTTCGTTAGCTTGGAAGCCTACATTTTGTTAAACAAACAACCCTGAACCCTAAACCCTAAACCCCGAAAGGTTAAACCCATCTGGGTATTGCCGGAAGCTTTTGGGTTTGGGGCTTCGGGTTTCCGGGTCAGCTGGGCAACAATTCTCGGCTTGCCAGCGTGGAACATCTAAGTCCGGGCGTTGCGGTTGAGGTCTTAGGGTTTAGGGTTTAGGGTTTAGGGTGTAGGGTTTGGGGTTTAGGGTTTAGGTTTTTGGGTTTAGGATTTTTGGGTTCGCGTTTCAAGGGTCGCAACCCTCCCACGCCTCATCGGCCCGAAACGTGAGATGTTGGAGTCTGCGAGGCTGCGAAGGTGATCCACCAGCTCTTCTTTACCCAGGCTCCGGTTTTCTCAGCTCCTAAACCCTAAACCCTAAACCCTAAACCCTAAACCCTAAACCCTAAACCCTAAACTCAAAAGAACTCCAACCTCGATTTTTTGTGAGACTTTCCAGTTGATGGTTTGAGGTTTGGGGTTTTCGCTTAGTCTCAAGCATCAGACCCTGTTTCAGGAGTCGTGCTCCCGACAAGTCTGGATGGAAGGAATCTTGCACGGCCAAGAGCATACCCTAGACTCCCTAAACCCTGAACTCCCCAAACCCTGAACTCCGTAATGCTCTAATCCCTGAACTCTCTAGGCCTGAAATCCTGAACCTCCTAAACCCTAACATCCCTAAACCCGATTCAATGCACTCCCTAAACCCGAAACCCTAAACCCCAAACCCTAAACCCTAAACCCTCCCCTGTCAACCCATGCCTTAGGGAAGTGATCCCAGCCAAAAGTCAACATGGGGCTTTACGAAAAAAGGGGACCACTAATACAGACCCCCAAGTAGCAGCATCCCCTTATAGTGAGGACCCCAATATGGGTAACCCTAAACCCTAAATCCTAAACCCTAAACCCTACACCCGAAACCCTAAACCCTAAAGCCTAAAGCCTGAACCTAAACCCTAAACCCTAAACCCTAAACCCTAAACCCTAAACCCTAAACCCTAAACCCTAAACCCTAAACCCTAAACCCTAAACCCTACAACCTAAACCCTAAACCCTAAACCCTAAACCCTAAACCCTAAACCCTAAACCCTAAACCCTAAACCCTAAACCCTAAACCCTAAACCCTAAACCCTAAACCCTAAACCCTAGCCCGAAACCCTAAACCAATCATCGAAAGGGATGCAAGAATGCATCCATCTACCGTGGAACCAAGACTTTTCTCGCTCACAGGCGGAGCGCATGGAGTACGGCTTCAAGGCGCCTTAGGGTTTGGGGTTTAGGGTTTAGGGTTTAGGGTTAGGGTTCAGTGATTCAGGGTTTAGGGCTTCGGGTGTTGACTCTACTAGTTTTAAGGATGTAGGTGTAGGGTTTTGGATGGACAAGCCTCTGACTTCACCTTACTGTAGAAGCCTACAAGGATGGACCTTCCATTTCCTGTAAACTCGCAAGTGTTGTGGGATCCCGAAAGGGTTTAGGGTTTAGGGTTTAGGGTTTAGGGTTTAGGGTTTAGGGTTTAGGGTTTAGGGTTTATAGAGTGTATAGAGTGTATCGCAGTAACCCTACACCCTAAACCCCACACATCCTTAGGGGAATATAGTTAGACCGGGGCTCATGCCCGTTCACCCCATGCAGCTCCGCAGACAGGACGTCAGGTGCCAAAAACACCCATAAGGTTTAGGCTTTTTGGGTTTAATTTAGGGTTCAGGGTAGGTTGTGTCGAAGCCAATCTTTCGGTGTACTGCCCCCTAAGCCCTACGAAACCCCTAAACCCTGACCCCGAAAACCCCCTAAGCCCAGACCCTGTCCCTAAACTAGGCCCCAAACCCCGAAGCCCAACATTCTCCGGATTCGAAAAAGCGCCCGGGATTGATCTTTTTTGTAGGCCCCTTCTGGGTAAGTAGGTTTCAAGGGAGAGACTACGGGTTTAGGGTTAGGGTTTAGGGTTTAGGGTTAGGGTTTAGGGTTTAGGGTTTAGGGTTTAGGGTTTAGGGTTTAGGGTTTAGGGTTTAGGGTTTAGGGTTGGGTTTAGGGTTTAGGGTTTAGGGTTTAGGGTTTAGGGTTTAGGGTTTAGGGTTTAGGGTTTAGGGTTTAGGGTTTAGGTGTCCCTAAAACCCTAAACCGCGACACCTGTTCATGGTAGGGACTCAGGGGTCAGAGAGTTCCCTCTAAACCCTTAATACCCCTGGCATCATTACCCTAAACCCTAAATCCCTAAATCCCTAAATCCCTAAATCCCTAAATCCCTAAATCCCTAAATCCCTAAATCCCTAAATCCCTAAATCCCTAAATCCCTAAATCCCTAAATCCCTAAACCCTAAACCCTAAACCCTAAACCCCCCTAAGCCTAAACCCTGAAGCCTGAATCGAAAGAAAGGGCTTATAGGGCTTATGGTTTAAAGTTTGCGGCGCATGCGTGACTTGAGTTAGCGCAAGCCTTGCGATGTTCCCCCTTATGCAACAGTCCTTAGGGTTTAGGGCTTAGGGTTTAGGCTTTAGGGTTTAGTAGGGACTATACTTTGTGGGTGCGTTACTGTAACTTTACATCCGCAGCCTTTTTGGGTTTATTGGGTTTCTTCAATAAGGCAGCTATAGAAATTAAATGTATAGCTACCCTGCTAAGTGCGGCCAAGTATAGTACCCGCGAGTATAATGCCTATGAAGGACTGTTAGTATCAGGGGGAACATCCGAAAAGCAAGCCCCATACCGTCTTTCTTGGGTTTCAGCGCACATTGCCCCCTCTCGTGGGCATGCCTAACACCCCGAAACACTGAACACCGACAACCCTAAACCCTAAAAACAACCCTAAAATCCTAGACCGAGATCCCTGAAACCCTAGAACCCCCATAAAACCCCGAATACCCTAGAAGCCCTGAAACCCTACCCTAAACCCTAAACCCGAAAACCTCCTCTGCTCCCCTCTCGGAGGATTTCGAGTCGGACTTGAAAGGAACCATGGAGGAGGGTTAGGGTTTAGGGTTTGGGTTTAGGGGTTTGGGGTGTAGGGTTTGGGGTTTTGGGTTTGGGATTTAGGGTTTGGGGTTTGGGAGGCGCCGGGCGAGTCTGTATGGGATAGCCATCGTACAAGCCCTAAACCCTAAATCCTAAACCCGAATTTATACGCCCTAACCCCCCCCCCCCCCCAAACCTTGAACTTTACTCTAAATCCCCCAAACCCTACCAGAAGATCCAGAGCCGACCCTTGTTCACATAAGCAGGGTTTGTATTACTGCTATTGGTGAGAGTATATAAGGTTCCTTTTTTTAATTTTGGTCGGTGTATATATTGGGTGTCCTTTTGGGGTACAAGAAATATAAACCCTGCTTCTATGTGTCGAGCACTGTTGCACCTGCTTTAGTGTGTTCCCCTTCCCCCCCCCCCTCCCACCACCCCCGAACAGTGGAAGCGAAGCTGGTGTTGATTATCTCAAACGGTCCACGGGTTTTATAGGATTTGTTTGTCGGGAGAAGCTTTTGTTAGTTTTTTGGGGAAAGCGGCAATGCATAAACTAAAACAAGCGCTGCGTGAAATGTTCTTACGACGCCTGGTCGGAATGACTTAATTGCGGACCCCCCCCCTCCCGACAAAGCCCTGAATCTCCCACCAACCCCACCAAGATTCGAACTAGGGTCTCTTTTGTTTAGGGTTTAGGGTTTAGGGTTGAGGTTTGAGGGTTGAGGGTTGAGGGTAAGCGCCAGATCATGGCCTGACATTAGGGTTTAAGGTTTAGGGTTTAGGTTTTAGGGTTTAGCACCCAAACCCCGAGCAAGACAACATAGCACCGGGGATAGGCAGGCGGTGTAACACATCCTTGCAACGCCAAAACCCAAAACCCCAAAACCGAAGTCCTTTGCACCTGGCCCCTGAAAGTTTACTTTCTTCTCCCAAAACCAAGGAATACAAAGGCCAAACTGGGCCAAACTCGATTCTTCCTACAAAAAACACAAAAAAGAAAGCAGAACATTGCAAATCGCGACATGTGCAAGCACGTCCCCTGCTGTCGAGCGTGAGACTTACTACCAATCAAAAAGCCTAAAGCTCGGCTATTAGCTACGTGTAAGCAGTGGGTTTGGCAAACCTCGACACACCTGTTCCGTTCAGCCCCTGAGTGTCTCAACAGCAGCTAGCGCTAAACGCTAAACCCTAAACCCCTCAACCGTCATCGATGAACCACCAACCCCTCCCCCCTCCCTTGCAAGTGTCACATGGCCATCCTTTGCAGGACGCGGACAAGCCGCTTACCTGGGAAGACGTGGAGAAGTACATGAAGGAGAACTTTTAAGATCTGCAGGCTCGGGAGCAGGGGTTTTGAGAGGTGAGAGGGTTTTGGAGGGTTTGGGAGAAGGGTTGAGAGGTGGTTTGAGGGAGGATTTGAGTGGGCGCTTGAGTTTAGTGTTGTGAGGCGGCTCTCTCTATGGTTTTACTGCAACCTTACGATAAATCTTATGCTTGCTGAGGGGGGGGGGGTAGGTGATTTGGGAGGATGTATGTTGAAGCTCCCAGACTTTCTGGCGATAGCACGAGCAAGGAAGGTGGCAATGACTTAAACCGCTGTCTGATGAGTCTGACAGTCATCTCGGAAATGTAGTGACCCCCTAAACCCTAAACCCTAAACCCTAACCCCTAAACCCTAAACCGTGGCCCTCCTAAACAAGCTCTGCTTGGCTGCGAATTGGAGTGTGAGGGTTAGGATTGAGGGTTGCAGATTATGGGATTAGAGTTGAGGGTCCAGTTTTTAGGGTTTGGTGATTAAGGTTTGTGGGGCGCAGCGTTGAGGGGTTTCTCTACATATACCCGACCCCAAACCCCAAAACTTAGATCGGTTTAGGGTTTAGGGTTTGGGTTTCGATTTCCTAAAACCTAAACCCTCAACCCCAAACCCTAAACCCCAAACCCTAAACCCTAAGCCTAAGCCCTAAACCCTAAACCCTAAACCGGGGTCTGGCGTAGACAGAGCTGCAATGGTTTTAGGAATATTTGGGTCCTCTTTGTTCGATGCGAAGTAGCTCCAGTTCTTTGTAAACCCACTGGTTCTGAATAGGAGCTAGGCAAGAAGGTTCCCACCTAATCCCCTAAGGGTTACTTATACAACCCTAAATCCTCGAGCCCTTAAATTCTGGAAACAGCTTCTGTCTTGCTGCTAAGCCCCAAACCCAAACCCTGATCCCTAAACCCTGAACCTTAAAGCCTCAAACCCTAGACCCCACGCCCCCAAATCCTCACCCTAAACCACTCTCAAGCCTTGATCCCTAAACCAAACTCAACTCCCTGAACAGCAAATTCTGATCCCCAAGCCCTAAACCCTAAACCCTAAACCCCAAACCCCAAACCCCAAACCCCAAACCCTAAACCCTAAACCCTAAACCCTAAACCCTAAACCCTAAACCCTAAACCCTAAACCCTAAACCCTAAACCCTAAACCCTAAACCGTTCGACGCCCTGAGCTGGGCGAGGCAGATCTCCAGCGCCGAAGCCGCGCGAGTCGACCTGAACACTCCTGGTTGAGGGCTTGACGGGGTTTAGAGGGTTTTAAGGTTGCGGTTTAGGGTTTAGGGTTTAGGGTTGAGGGTTCAGGGTTTAGGAGTTTGGGTTTAGGGTTCAGGGTTGAAGGTTTACAACACTTTCGCCTCTCTGGTTTAGGGTTTAGGGCTTTGGGTTTAAAGTAACAGTCTTTAATCGGGATTCTTATCGGGGTACAGTCTTTAAGGGATTAGGGTTTTAAGGGTTTAGGGCTTAAAAGGTTTAGGGCTTAAACGGGTTTAGGCTTTTGGGTTGTTTATCGTTTGGGCTTGGATTGGTCGTTGGGTTTGCGGCTCTAGGGTGGCTTGATTGGGGGTTTAGAGTTTGGGATCTAGGGTGTAGTTTAAAGTTTTCGGAAGCGTCTGGCATTGGAGTTCGGGTTTAGGGTTTAGGGTTTAGGGTTTAGGCTGGTTTAGGGTTTAGGGCTTAGGGTTTGGAAGTTTTGGATTTGTGGTTGAGGTGCAGGGAATCGAGTTGTTTGTTTGGGTTCACGTGTAGGGTTGAGGGTGCAGGGCTTCATGGCCCTGAAGATCGTTCGGGATGTTGGGGTAGAGGCATCAGTACAGGGCCCGAGGATGTCGGAATTTAGGGTAAGGTCCGAAAGCCCTAAACCCTAAACCCTAAACCCTAAACCCTAAACCCTAAACCCTAAACCCTAAACCCTAAACCCTAAACCCTAAACCCTAAACCCTAAACCCTAAACCCTAAACCCTAAACCCTAAACCCTAAACCCTAAAGACTTGACTCGCCGGCCAACTTGTTTAATCCAGCGCCCGTGCCCTCCGGCAAGAACAGCCGAAGCGGCAGCGCGCAACTTGGGAGGAGGGTCTGTCAGCAGCCTGGTGCGTTTGTCGGGCTCTATATATAAATATAAATATAAATAAATAAATAAATATAAATATATATAGGGTTTAGGGTTAACTAGGCTTTTAACTCCTTAGGGTTTAGGGTTTGGAGTTTAGGGTTTAGGGTTCAGGGTGCGGGGCTTAAGGTTAGGATCAGGGAGGTACAGAGGCTGCTAGAAATGAGGGCATGGGGCCGCACCAGCGAAGCCGACTGTAGGCACCACCTTTCCCCCAAGTCGTTCCCGGAGATCCTATCTCCGTGGGATAGGACAGCGTTGAAATTTTAAGGACGCCTCCCCGACACCCTAAGCCCGAAACCCGAAACCCTAAACCCTAGCGCACCACTTGCTGAAGAACCCGCCAAACCAAAAATGAAATCAAACAAAATCCCAACATTGCATTGCCCTCATAAGGAAGAAGGGGGTGCTGAAGCAATAGTAGTAGCACCCAACACTTGACATGAAGAGATCCGATTTAGAGACCGCACTGCCCACTTCACTAAAACCCTAGACCCTACACCCTAAACCCCAAACCCCAGACCCTAAACCCTAAACCCTAAACCCTACACCCTAAACCCTAAACCCTAAACCCTAAACCTTAAACCCTAAGAGGGGAGCTCCTGAGCCGAACACAGCAGCAGACGCAGCTCTCCAAGAAACACCTTTGGCAGTGAGGCTAGCCACGCCAGGGCCTTTGGTCTAATGAGCCCAAGGGTTTAGGGTTTAGGGTTTAAGGTTTAGGGTTTAGGGTTTAGGGTTTAGGGTTTAGGGCTACTCATACAGGGGTCGGAATAACTACTAAAGTATTCCCTCATGGTCCCTTTATAGTTAGACTGCAGTAACCCCCCCCCCAAAACCCGCATTTTACTTCTTAAGGGCCCTATATTATGGGAATTCTACAGACCTTTCAGGGTTGCTGGTAGGGTGAACCGGTGTATAGGGGTTAGGTCTACGGTGTGAAGAGGGAAATGGTTTGGCCGTGGTGGGCGGAACTTCTGCCAAAGAGCTGTTGGACAGGAACCTGCTGAAAGGGGAGCTGCAAGAGCGAGAGAGAGTTGGATCGCGCTCTGGATTTATGCTTGGGCTGATGGGTTTTAGGGCTGGGGTGCTATGGCGCTAGCCTGTTTCAGTGTATTTCCGTTTTCGGTGCGCCTGCAATGTTTTGCAGAATATGTTCAACAATGCCTACTTGTCCAACCCGTAAGAGAACCACAGTTCTACGAGTTGCTTAAACAACCCCAAAAAAATAGAAATATTCTTCCTTACAAGGGTAATATGGGCATTATTATTTGTGTTTTTCTTGGGGTTTCTTAAGCAAATAGTAGGTTTGGCTGGCTGCGGGCCATGCGTTGGTGATTTTTAGGGTTGGTTACAGGGGCCGTTTAGGCTTCAGGGTTCAGTGTTTAGGGTCTTGGGTTTAGGGGCATCACGAAGGACCCGAAACAGTGGCCGATGCCATCCGTTTATCATCTCTTCAAGTATGATACCAAAAGCTACCCAACATGGCCAGTCTAATCAAATAGGCCTCTTTATCCCCTACCAGTAGGTACCCTCCTTGTCGGTGGGGGGGTGGGGGGCGACCAAATCCTCTTGTTCCATTGTGCCAGCAATGAAGTGGACCAAAACCCCAAACTCCTAGATAAACTCTAAAATCCTTAACACTAAAATCCTAAACTCCTATATGAAACTCTAAAATCCTTAACGCTAAAATCCTAAACTCCTATATAAACTCTTAAATCATCCTCAGCTCTGAGCCCGGCAACCTGGAACCTGAACCCTAAACCCTGAACCCTGACGCGCAAGACATGAGGTCCTTGGTTGCGAGATGGATCCCGCTGGGACCCGATGGGTTTAAGTTCTTCTTGCGGTTCAGGGTTAAGGGTTCAGGGTTTAAGTTCAGGGTTTAGGGTTCAGGGTTGAGGGTTTAGGGTTTGAGTTTAGGGTTTGGCGTTTAGGTTAGGACCGAGGGTCTGCAGCAGGAGACAGTCCCCACAGGGTCGGGTGGTTGTTTGTAGGGTTTCGGGTTTGTAGGGCTTGGAGTTCGACCCTGAGCCGTATACCCTACCTAGACCCTGAGCTTAGTGCTTTGGGGGTCTTGGGTTAAGGGACGTTGTACAGACCCATAATTTGGTACGTACCCGAAAGACGAAACACAATTGAAGGTCTAGGCATACCCAAAGCTTTTCCGGGCCTTTCACATTGCAAAAGTAGCCTTGGCCCGTAACACGCCAAAGCCCTTGCCCAACCCTTAACCCGAATCCCTATCTTCAAGCGTAAGGCCCCCAATCCCCAACCCCAAACCCTCAACCCTAAACCCTATAGGCCCTAAACCCTAAACCCTCAACCCTAAACCCCTAAACCCTGACCCCTAACCTCCCCCCTCAAACCCCTAAGCCCTAAGCCCCAAGACTCGGCGTGATTCGCTGAAAGCACGTGGAGAGGAATTATAGGGCATTTTAGGATTTAGGCCTTAGGGCTTAGGGTTGAGGGCTTGGGGGTTTAGGGGTTAGGGGTTAGGGCTTCGGGCTTAGGGCTTAGAGAGAAGCTTCGCATGTGTTCTTCGCTTCACTTTCTGAGAGTTCATTTTTTTTTGTTTTCTTTTGGGGGGGGGGGGGGGCTCGGACGCTCAACCCTGAACCCTAAACCTACCCGAAGGCCCAATTCCCTCAGCCCTAAACTCCGAACCCAGAACGTTCCGCATGCAGAGCCCTGCGCCCTCGATTTGTCAGCGCTGGGGCGATGTTTCACGATCCGGGCCCTTGAGTCCTCTGAGACCCTTGAGCCCCGTAGTTCGTGCGGGTTAGGTAGGTTTAGGGTTTAGGGTTTTAGGGTTTAGGGTTTAGGGTTTAGGGTTTAGGGTTTAGGGTTTAGGGTTTAGGGTTAGAGCCTCAAGCCCGAAACCCTAAGGCCTATAAGCC